GACGGCCGAGAAGCTGGCGGCCGAGAGCGCCAAGGAGCTGGTGGAGATCGCGGTGCCCGAGAACCTGGTGGGGGCCATCCTGGGCAAAGGGGGCAAGACGCTGGTGGAGTACCAGGAGCTGACGGGTGCGCGCATCCAGATCTCCAAGAAGGGCGAGTTCCTGCCCGGCACGCGGAACCGGCGGGTCACCATCACGGGCAGCCCCGCGGCCACGCAAGCCGCTCAATACCTCATCAGCCAGCGGGTCACCTACGAGCAGGGGGTGAGGGCTTCAAACCCACAGAAAGTGGGATGAGGCCTGTGGTGTGCGTCCCCACCCCCTCCCGCTCCTCCTCCCTCCTTCTCCTCCTCTCCCAACTCCCGCCAGACTTCAGCTTGGTGTGACTCCTGCTTGGCTTGGGATGGGGCTGGGGTAGGCCTGGCTGCACCCTCCGTTCTGATAGTCATAGGCAGGATTGAGTGACGGCTGGGAAGGGGGCTTTTGAGCCCCCTTTCCAGCCTTGAACTGACCCCTCCTCCCTCCCTCCCTGTGCTTGACTGGGCCTGACCCGCCTCTCCCAGGGTCCAGGTCTATGTGATATCTGTATATATTGCATTTTGTTGATTTTAATAGAAAACAAAGCGTTATTTTCTCTTTCTTTCCCTCCTTTTTTTTCCTTTTTAACTTTTTCTTCTTCTTTTTTTTTTGATAAGGATTTCCCCCTCCTTTATAAGATTTTTGTTGACATATGGGAGGAGGGGAGGGAGCCTCCAGATCACCTGGAATGAGGTGCCTCCCCTAGACACAACATCCTGCCTCTCTGATTGCAGTTCCAGATCCTGGGAAAGTGACGCGAGTAGAGGCAGCCATCCAGGAGTCAGATCTGAAATGAGGGGTTTGGAACATAGCGCTCCCCCATCCCAGGAGTCCCACATTTCCGAAGCTCCACTATCTCCCTGCAGTACCCCCTCGGGTGGAAGTGGAACTTTCTTCATTAAGCAGATGTGTTCCTGCTGGAAATGATGCCAGCTGTGGGATGCCTCAGGTTCTGTAAGCCGCGCGGTGTTGTGAGAGGCGCAGGAGCAGCCGCTGTGGCTTCTCGTGGCTTTTTCTAGAGACACGAGGGTCCCTGTTGTGATGTCACTGAATCAAGTATTTATGGGGTGCTTCCAGTAACTCCCTATGATGTCATAGGAAGTAATTCCTCAGAGGCCGCTTCCTGTACTGGTGAGAGAAAAATCACATCCCGTGAGGTCACAACAAAACTGCTTCCTCAAAGTCACTTCCGTGATGCCAGAGGCAAAGGCATGTACTTCCTATGGAATCTCGAGGTCACTTCCTGTGGCATCATCGGGACGAAGCATGTGCTTCCTGTGTTGGATAGTGGCCAGTCCCTTCATCCCCCTCCTCCTTCCACACTCTTTAGTGGATGTTGGCCCTGGGGGAAGGGAATCCCTAGAAAGAGACTGAAGGATGGGACTTGGATCTAATGTGGAGAATTCTAAAGAGGAAAAAAAAAATACTGTCAGGGTCATCTCCATACCATCTCTGAACTTGCCTTGACAGGCACGAATGGGAGATGAAGCTAGTGAAACTGACTGCTAAAGATCCCCTCCCTTTCCCACTCCTGCCTTTTGTGTGCATGCCTGTGTCTACGTGGCTTCATTTCATTGATGGATGAGCCAAATGTATGGTGGCTCGGTCAGGCCAGTGTGATCTGGTATAGAGTTAAGTGAGCCTTGCAAAGCTTAGGGTATCTTGGGCTGAAATGCCTTGAGTGGTCTGATGAATTCATTTGGCTTGGTGGCTTCCAGGGAGTTGGTAGATGTTAGCAGTGTTTGATAGGTCGGAAATGTTCTTAGGTTCAGAAGAGCTAGAAGATTCTGATGAAAATGTGACAAGCCAGGCTGCCCTGAGAGTTGTTTGGGAGTGGCTCACTTAGCATGGTGGCTCTGATCAACTCCAAAGACAGATGTCAGGGCCTGAAAAACCTATATGCTAGGATTGCTGAGACATGCCTGTTCCCACCCATCTCCTCATCCCTGTTGGAGAACACCTTCAGTTCCTCCAACCCCAAGCAGGGTCCTCAGAACCCTGGCTCCATCATCAGCATCTCTGGGGGAGGGGTACCCTATGCCCACTCCCTCCTCCATCCGCCCTCCTAGGTCTTCCAGACCCTGCGCTCCTCCATGGCTTTGGGGATAAAAGGCCTCCTTATTTCTATCCCTACAAATGAGCGGAAGGAGGAAAGCTACCCAGACAATGCCTACCGCTGAAGCCTGGGAGGCCCCTACCCTGTGCAAGAGAGCCACCCCCAAAATCAAAATGTGAAAAATCCCTAGAAAGCAATAGCCTTCGAGGTACCTCGCACTGACTCCCCCTCCCCCAGCCCTTCCACTGGAATGGGAGGCTAAAGCTTGGGCACTGGGGTGACTTTTTCCAAGTCCTCATCTCCTCAGTGAAGGGCAGGCCCCATTTCCTTCACACACACCCCATCTCCCACCTCTTATCGCTGCTGCCCCCACCCCTAATCTCCACACTGAGCCCAGATGGAGATTTTAGTGCCAAAACAATTCTTGATACCACTTTGTACATATCTTCTACAGCTAGGGGCTGTTGGGATTGGAGGTGGGGGCGGCCCACGGAGCCATTGCTCCCCTCCACCTCTTAAATGACCCTACAGTATTTCATAGTAGCTCCACCTGCATGTGGGTAGTAATGTATCTAGCTGGAATATCCCCCCCCCCCCCCCAAAACCCCCCCGGCCCGGGGGGGGGGGGGTAGGGGGGGGCCCCACCAATTTTGGGGGTGGGGGGGGGGGGTCAGAAAGGTCATTTGCAACTCATTTGCATCTTCCCCTGGACTACCTGCTTTCTCTGAGCCTGTTGGCTGGAGTCTGGGTTCAGTACTCCTCTCACACAGACAAAGCATCCTCTTGGGTGCCTGTGTGACATGGTGGTCCCTATTAACATTTCTTGGGGATCCCTCACCCCACCAGCCCGGGCTATCTGAAAGGTAGTTTGCTAGCTTAGGAAGGAGGTCTACTTACCGTATTGCTGAGTGAGGAGCCACACAGCTTCCCCCATTTTACCCTGGGAAGTTCCATCCATCCTCTTCGCTATCCCTTGAAAGCCCTTTTGCAGTCTGACCTCAATCTTCCTGTGCTGTAGTTTGTCCAGAACAGACACAGATGTGGACCAGGGATGGGAATTACTTTTAAAATAATAGTAACAAAATCCATTGCCTCCTCCTCTGCCCATTAGCCAGTCAGATCTCAAAGAATCTGAGCGGCCTCCTTGCACCCCCACTCTTCAGCACCCAGTAGGTGCTTAGTAAATAAGTGTTGCCTGTTCCTCATCTCCCTCCAGCTTCCCCCAGCATTTCTCTATTTCTCTGGCTCCCTGTGGCCCACTGGGTTTTCCTCCTGTGCTTCCCCACACCGTTCTCTGTCCTGTCTCTATCTTCGTCTGTCTGTTTTCTTCCCCTCCTAAATTCTCAACGCTTTCATTTCCCCTTTAAAATCAAAAAGTGCCAAACTTCCTCGGAACTGAGCCGATCTGGGGTGTGGGGGAGGGGGGAGGATCTTTAATGGATGGGAGGAGAATACCTCTCTTAGAGGAGGCTCCTTAAGAGGCAGAGAGAACACCTGTGGAGGTTGAGCTAAATTGGATCCCCTTCCTCGTTCCTCTCACCCTGAGTTTTTCTTAGAATCTTTATAAGAAAAAAAGAAAAAGAAAAAAAAATACTCATTTTCAACTAACCCCTACTTTTTTGGATTCCCCTCCCCCAAATTCCACCAGCCAAGGAAAACCCCTTTTGCCTCTTTCTGGGCAAGTCTATAGAAATTGGGGGGGAGGGGGGACAGACCCCATCCTCTTCTGCTGGCCCAAGGGGGTGGTTGTTGGGGAGGGACCTCAAAGCACTTAAGACGAGGGGTTCCAAAGTGCCAAATTCACCTTCTCCATCCTGTCTCGGGCAAGGCTCTGAGCCAGCCAGCCCAACCATCATCTTTGCCCTCTCCTAGCCAGGAGGAAATTTTGCCGCAATAATTAGCTGGGCAGGAATCTGAAGGCAGTGATTTTTGCCATCTCTGTACTGGACTTGTAGGTGGAAATTATAGGAGCTTGGCAAGAGTCGTCTTACAGATGGTTGGGAACCTATACTCGGAATATTACGGTACCACTTGTTTTCCCGCGGTGTTTTTTTCTCCACTCTTAGCCAACCAAATCCCTTGGAATCCACTCCTTTCTGTTTCTTCTACCCGTCTGTCTGTCCTCTGTCCCGTCACATCCCGCCCCCCCCCCCATACACATGCCTTCTTATTATTTTATGGTTGATCGGTCTCAGGCTGTTTGACAGAGGAGAGGAGGTTCCCCTTTGCATGGATTCTTGCTGTGTCGAGCCCAAGACAAAAGGTTAATTTGCAAAAGCGTCACCAGAGCAACGGTGAAGGTGGCAATCTAGGCGCCCAAGATGCTTTACTAGGTTGCACACCCGTCACTTGTCGGACAGCCAGACAGTCCTTCTCTGTGCCCAGTGCATCTGCCCCCAAGCGCCATCCAGAATCGAGGCCGGCCGTCGTCAAAGGCTGAATTGGTTGTCACCATGGGGGAGTACAGAATTGCAATACCCAGGTCGGGGGCAGAGAAGCCTGGTTTACGCTCTGTGGAGTCTGGACACCCAGCCTTGCTGTCGGGAGCCCTCTCCACCACAGTCAGCGCGGTCTTGATGTCCCAGCTGGTGTGTCCGGTCCGGTCCATCGCGTCCCCACTCTCACCAGAGGCCTAGACGACCCCTCGCTGAGTGACAGGAGGGAGGGTCTCTGTGGAGGGTGGTGTGGTGGTGAAGACTGTTGGTTTTTAACCCCTTTTCAGCCAGTCTAGGACATTCGTCTCCTTAGAACTAATATAGGGAGACCCTCCTCCTTCCTCCCTCTCCCCAACCCTCCTCCCACTCCCCAAAACCACCAACCTTTCATCTTCTAAGTGACTCCATCACCACCGGCCACCACTGGAACCTGCGGCCTCATTGCTCCAGCCCGCCCCACTCGACCGTCAGACTCGCTCATCGAACTCTTTTGATTAACCCTTTCTGTGTTCATCCCACGGAAAACTTGTGTGTTCGGCAGGGAGGCCAGGGGGGATGCTAGGGGCAGTTGCTACCTTTCCTCCATCTCCTCCCAGTGCCCATGCCTCCCCATCCCATGCCCCCATCCCCATCCCTCACCCCTTAGGATCCGCCTCCCCTGAGGGCCCAGGGATCCTCTAGAAATATACCTTTGCTGTTTGGCTTTGCACCCTTTAAAAGGCGGGCCTAGGAGGCGTGGCCTCCCCAGCCGAGCGCTCACTCCGACCGTCTTCCCCGTTGCCCCCACCCACTCCCCACGCCTTCATTGTAAATAGTCACTTTTGTACTTGGTTTGAGCCAGGCGACGTGGGGAGTCTCTCTCTTTCCCTTTTCTTTCTTTCTTTCTTTTTTTTTTATTTGTGTTGGCATCTCAGCTACTGGAGGCATGGTCCACATCCCAGGTCGATTTGGGAGAAGCCCAAGGTGTGTCCCGCCAAAATGCTAAGGATTTCGAGATAACAGTATTAACTCCGACAGGCCTGGGGTGCACAGGTCCCCCGGCCGGAGGCAGGAAAGTAAGGCTCTGTTCT